TGTCCTGTTATAAGATACTGGGAAAGTATTCTAGAGAATATTGCCTCAAGACTGACCCTGTTTTTAAAGGTTTTCCTCCCTAATTCCTTAGCTCTTGACTAGTGTCAGAGACAGGGTACAGGGTGAAAGAGTCCCTTGGTGGACTCAGGTTGGGTTTTCTCTTTTTAGTATTCTGGAATTGTACATCACAAATGTTGCTGGCTGTCAACAAGCTGTTCCATTAAATTCACAAGCAGGACAATTTATTTAAACCAGACTTCTTTTGTATGATGAAGCATGTATATTTAAACACACACACTGCAACGTTGTTCCTTTGAGATTTCTTTTATCTTTTTATTACTGTCTTTGGGGCAATATGTGAAGACACTTGTCTTTTTCCGGAGCTAAGGCAGCCAAACTCAGTTCCCATTGAACTAAAGAAATAGCTACTTGTGTTTCCTAAAATTTGTCTATGTTTTCAGTTTCCCAACAGTACCTCACTTTTGAGCTCCTTCTTTGGAAAGGTGGGCCAAGCTGGCAGTGAGTGGCTTTATGCTCTATCTGGGGCGTGAAAAATCACCCTCAGGTAATTTGACTTAGCTCTAAATGTACTGATTTTTATGGCCATGGCAATCTCTGCTCAGAGCAATGTCCAGCTTCCAGAACAGTCCTGTTGAACAGGACTGAAGAAGGTCTATAACCTTCTTTTGAGAAGTGGATGTTTGCACTGCTGGGTGATGAAGACAGGGGCTGTTAGGAGTCGAGTGACAATGTATGGGGAAGTTCAGCTCTGAATACCATGATATCTGCTCTGTTTCTTTTCTTCTGTTTCCCTATCAGACTGGAAAACGGTAGGGCTTGAAAGGAGGTTGCTTGATGTGCGCAGCCAGCTCTTCAGCCACAAGTTAACTTCTCTTTTCATCCTGCAAAGGAATGCCAAACTGGCACTTGGCCTGGTCATTAAAGACATTAGAAATTAGGATTCATAGACTCATAGAACAGTTCAGGTTGGAAAGCACATCTGGAGGTCATCTAGCCCAAACCCTTGCCCAAACCAGTCCTAATAGATCAGGTTGCTCAGGGGCTTTTCCAATTGAGTCTTGAGCACTTTCAAAGGTGGAGTTGGCCCCATTTCTATGAAAGTATTCCAACATTTGACCTGTCATGGTAAAATGAAAGAAGTCATTAAATATAATCAGGGCTTCCAATGTTTTAACATGTGCCCATAGCCTTTTGTCCTGTCACTGTGAACCTCCTAGAAGAGTCTGCTTTGTATATCCTATGATAAGGTAGCTGTTAGGAGTGGTAAGGTCTTGCCTGTCCCTTCCCTTCTTAAAGCTGTCCATAAAATCACAGAGTAAATAACTTCTTTCTTATATCCACCCTCTAAATCTACCCTCTTAATCTTAAAACCATTACTCCTTGTCCTATCACAGCAGGCTCTGGTAAAAAGTCTTGCTCCATCTTTCTTCTAACTCCCCTTTAGGTATTGGAAGGCTGCAATAAGGTAAATCCCAGAACCAGAGCTGGTTCTCATAGCCTCTCCTCACAGGGCAAGTGTTCCTGAACTCCAACCATCCTGGGACTTCCACTGGCCTCTCTCCATGATGTCTGTGTCTTTCTTATGCTGGACATGGTTCTCCACCCGTGGTCTCACAAGTGCCAGATGGAAGGGAAGGGTTATGTCCTTGGACCCACTGCTTTAGCCTCACTAATCCAGCCTAGGATGCAAATTCCACTGGAATTCACACCAAATGGATTTGGCTTCAACAGATAAATGTTCTGTTTACAAGAATTTAAGGAACAAACTGTTTGGGTAGGCAGTTTTCTCATTGATAATCCCTGCTGTAACATGCGCATAACGTGAGATTCAGTGATTCTTGTGTCAGCTTTAACTCTGCTTCGGATTCTTTGGAAAATCAAGAAACCTCTTTCCTTTTTCCTCACTGTGTGAGCAGTAATACTCTTTTTGCTTGTTTATGGAGATTTTGAGTGTGTGGAGCTGGACTGTAAGACATGAAGTGCTCCTTCAACCTGGTGAATCCACAATGCATACATAACCAAAGACATGGGTAAAATGATTTCCACTGGGATGCCTCTGCCTGTTGCATGTGGTACATTAGCGTGACACATGAAGACATGGCTGCCCTAACAGAGCCTGAAAGCATGGATTCACAATCACATATTCTGAATTAGCCTGAATCTTCCTGGAAAAATAGTCAATTTTTTTGTTTAGCCATAAAAAATAATATATAAATCCAGCAACCTCTTTTGTTCCGGAAACCTCTGGGCATATTAAGCGAAACCAGATACTTGAGGGTGGGGGTGCTGGGGGAGAGAGGCATACAGGAAAGCAATCAAACTCTACTGGAGGAATTTCTCCTTTCTGGAAGAACATAAACCAGTAACAGAATGTAAACAACCCGCCATATGTAACTTGTAAATCAGAAGTAAAAGGAACGAGCTCCCAGCAGGCCACTGTGAAGGGTTGGCTGTTGAGTCCTTTTATTTTTGTTCTTCTTGTTTGATTTCATTTTGAATTTGTCATCCTTTTCCCTCCTCTTCCTGCTCCCCCAAGATGAACCACAAGCCGAACTCTTCAAGCCTGGCCTCCTAAGTGGTGCCTGAAATAGTCACAGTGTATTAATTTAGCAGTGGCTGAAGAACTGGGTTTAACAAGGGCTTACAATGGCTCCTCCTGAAAACATGCCAGCGGCATTAGTTGGCTGGGACAAGGCTGAATTCTCTTCCCCAAACTAATCGGTCACTTGTGCTAGTGGGTCTATGAGCTGGGAAGTTTATTTCTTGTTTATTTAGTCTGTAAGAAGTGGCAGTGTTGGAAAGGAGAAAGACATCTCTTCTTAAAGACTCTTGGGAGTATAAGTTTTGCAGCTTGACAACAGCTTCAGTCTTTAACAAATACAAAGCAGCTCTAATTAGAACCATAAAGACCTAGAATGGTTTGTGTTGGAAAGGATCTTGAAGCTCATCCGATTCCAGCCCTCTGCCAGAGGCAGGGACACCTTCCACTAGAAGACTTTGGAAGACCTCCTTTCCCCCCAAATCCCTTTTCTAACTAAGGAGAGAAAACAAATAGGCACAGGAGTTTTAAAGGCAAGTCGGAGTGTGATAGAGTAATCCATGGAGCTGTGGGTCCAGGGGACTGAAGAGGCCAAGTTTGATACCCTTCATCAGAATATCCACCTGTTTCTTCTTGATTTACAACCACATCAACCTTATGCCACCTGGATATGTGCTTAGAGCTGAGCCCTGGGAGGCAGGATGGGCTTGGCTCTGAAAGATGGATCTATCCAAGATACATGTTTTGTCCTACAATATATTTCTGTTTTTCCAAAGGATGGAAACCAGGAAATTTCCAGAAAAACTTATATTCTTATTTCCTCATTTTTTATGTTGCACAATATCATATATACCTTTTATTTCTAGCACCTGTGCCTTGATCTCAGAATACATCTGCGTTTGTGAGATGGGCTCTGATCTCTGAGCATAAAGCAAATTAATGGTAATGAAATAAGAGCAACGTTTTGACTTTTTAATGCCTACAAAGAGCAAACCGAGTCTATAAACACAATGTCCTGAAGACAAAGGCTACAAGAGATAACTTCTTTTTACTTTTCTCCTGTGTTTAAATGAACAAAGCCCTCTCATTGTTTGTTGTTGTGAAATGGGGTGAATGAAGAGGCAAACCAGCCTCTGGAACATTTAGGGACTTCACCTCATATCCATTTCAAAGACACCTGCCTGTAGCTGAGCTTGCAAGTAAAGTTTAGTCAGGGAACATGGTTCATTTGCATGATTTCATCTCTTCCCCTAAAATATGGGCATTTGTAGTAATTTGTTATAATAGCGATGAGCACTGATGCTTTCCGGTACCAGCCACTGTGCTGTCAGTGACATGGATGCAGCTTCGGAAATCCCCCCCACCCACTGCTGTGTCTTTAGGATCACTGCCTGCTCAAGGCAATTCCAAAACTTCAAGCATATTTGCAAAGACTTTCTCAGAGCCTTGTCTGCCCTTATCATGACATGAACATCATGTTTCTGGCAAGGCAGCGCATGGGATTAAAGGTGGGATGGGAAGCAGGATGATGAGGGGCTCATCAGACCCATCTCGTTTAAAGCTAGAAAGGTCATTTACCTCATGGGCTGCTGGAGGTAGCAGAGTGTGACAGGCCGCAGATGAAATCTAAGAGCATGTTTATGCTGCTCTCCCCCTCCAAGCTAGCTGTTTGAATGGCAGGGTTGAAAGAAATCAGGCATCTTCCTAGCTCATCTGAAAGACGGAGCCACTGGGGATGGCTTCAGATTCTGTGGGAGCAGAATTGTTCTTGCCCAGTGCTGTTGGGACTGAGCAGGATTAAAAGACTGATGTTTCTGAGGTGTAAATGAACAGAAGCTGAGGGGCTGAAGCCCAGTTGGGACAGTATCGTTCAATGGAGATACGCAACAGCTTTTCCTCTCCATCTTTCTCTTACGTACCAGGTCCTGTAAGAGGTCTCTCAGATGGTGGTAGCAGTGATGAGGGACTGTGTGCATATGAAATACTTACACCAGGGCCTGCAACAAACCCAGAGAGGGATTAAATGCTTAAATAGTGTTGAGATTCAAACCATGGAGTCTGGGGCCCTGCCTTTATCACTTGGGTCTTTGGTGCTGCTGTGTGCTGAACAGCGCATGGAAGCACAGGGGGCAGGAGAGGTAGGCAATGGGGCTAAACCAGTGCTGCTGCCTGCGAAGCCCAGTATATGCATCTTCAGGACAAGGCACAACACTTCCCAGGCTCCAATAGCTCTGCTGAAGAGCACCTAATTAAGATCAGAGCAGTTGTGACACCACAGCTACGCTGAGGTTAGAGGAGATGAGTCCTACCCAGGGGGAAAATCAGAACGAATGCTGTTATTGTTCTGGCCCTTACTGCTGAGATGTGTTTTGCAAATCTTGTGGGAAATAATCTGCTTTTGCTGACGTTTCTGCTGTGCTGGTGCCTGTTCTTTCCCTAGTGTCAGCATGGGGATAGTGTCCTGTTGGCGCAAAAGCAAATCTGATTTGGAAAGGTTCATGCTGGAGAAGTTAGAAAATGGAAGAGGAAAGATGTGGTTCAACCAAACATCACAAATGTGAATGATATGGGGTATTTTGGCAAGTCATTTAAGGTCTGCAATAGTAAAATATAACTATTATCCAATACATTTTTAGCTTAAAAACATCATTAGAATTATTTGTGTTTGAATTAAACTGTTTTGTTTAAGAAATATAGTATTTTTAATATTTTTTTTTTTCAAATGGGAGGCTAAAGCAATATAATCACAGCCATTTTCTTACATGATTTGAACTCAACAAACTATTTCAATAAACTTGAATCAGCTGCTTTTATCCAAAAGTTGAGCTGAAATATATGACCTGACCCTAACAAGAAACGTTATGAAAGCTCAGACCTTGAACTTGGCCAGTACATGTGAGCAGTGGGGAGAGGACTCTGTGTAAGAGGTGGTGTGGAAATGCATGTTTCCTTCTTGGGTGTTATTTGTGTGGATGCTGCATAACCCATTACTCAGACAAACATTTTTCAGTCCACTGGGGTCTGTCCATGATCCTATGATTATCTAGAGGAAAATATAAAGTTCCTGGTAAAGTCTTTCAGATGGTGCAATCCTGGCAGAGAGGTCAAGTATGGACGGGACAGTTATACGAGGTGATTGTGATGACTTGATAGAAACATCTTCTCTTGGTTGTGTTAAGGCAGCCAAGGGCAAATTTACACTTTGAAAGAGCTTACGAAAGGAGATGATGTCTTGGAAGGCAACGGCTCTGGGAAAGCTTGGGATTAACAGCAGATAACAAATTGTGTGTATACAAGTTACTGTAAAGAGCAGGAAATCAGTCAACAACCCGCTACGCCTGTGGTGGCTGGACAACTGATGGGGACAAAGAATGTGGCAAAGGATGCCTGAGGTGAACTGGAGGGTGAGCTTTTGAACCAGGAGGACAGTTAAGTCCCAGGACAGACTGTGGGTGGGGTGGGGTGGGGAATCTCCATCCTGAAGGATTGTGATATCTTGCAGGGAAAAATGGGCAAGCAAGCGGTCAGCTGAGTATTCCCGGATCCTCTGGGCTTGGAGCCGGCTGGCTTTGCCTTCTGAGAACTTCCTGGCTTGGATGTCTTTTCTTGTCCCTGTGGAAACAAAGAGTGTTTGTGGGTGTCATTCCCTGAAAACCAGTTTAGCCAACTGAAGTGTTACAGTAAAATTCGTCAAAGATGTTGGGAATACTATAGGATTGATGCTCTCATTGGAAAACTGAGTTTTTCTACAGTATCTTTATTTTTTTAAGGAACTTTTTTTGGATGCTCAAAATATCCAGGTATTTTTTTTCCCCACTACGTTCTTTGAACGTTGAAATACGCTTTGCTTTCTCTTCCTTTCCCAAAGATAATAAACTTTTTGAGCTATGTTTATAGGAGTAAATTAGATATGCCTGGCATTGTTTTCTGGTGGTGAAATTTGTGTCTGTGCTATTGGGCTCTCTCATCCTTTGTAACAGGGTGGCTGCATCCCAGCTGCATGTTGGGGATGGTCCCTTGCTCAGGCTGGTTCCTGTTCAGATGTTGTTCGCAAAAGCATCATTTGACCTGGCCTAAAACTGCGCCCAAGACCACTGTATGAGCATAATGGTATAGATAGTGGTGTTTCTGTGCCTGAAAAAGTTCCTAATGCTGTTTGACTTACTAATGCAGATGTAGCCTTTGTATATTAGCAGGACCTAATACTCTCTGGTGGGACACAACTCTGTGATAGTGATTGAGGTGAAGCAAAGTCAAAGGATGCAGAGAATTGGGCCATGGTGAGTGACAGGACCGATCTTCTGTTTCCTGATAGATTCATTCAGGCACTAGAGTTACAACAGGGTGTGGGTGAAGCAACCACTGTCTATTCTCAATATTGACACAGATGTATTTCTTAGTAACGAACTGGCAGAGGCAATATAAGCATGCATCTCTTCTAGAGGAAAAACTACCACTTTTGTGGGTTTTCTTTGTCTCTTGGGTCAGCCCCTTGGCTGCTCTGAATCAGAAGTGTTGCCAATGCCAGGAAATTATGCTACTTTCTACTAATTTGGATTCTGGCCAAGGATGTGCAGTTGCCCTGGTTTGCTTGTGCTGTGGAGCAATGGTAAGGAGCAGCATTGAGGATGTATTTCAACTGCTACAGGTGTTACAAAATAAAGAATCAAACAGTGTCTTCTCTCTGGAGCCTCCAGACTCTGATTTCATATAGAGATGGTGGGGAAAAAGTGATCTTGCAGTTTAGGTAAGATATTTTTATATGTCTTTATAAAAGCAAGTAGGGATAGGTCAAAGGGTGACGGGTTGAAACTGATGGAGGATGGATTTAGATTAACTGTAGGGAAGAAGCAATAGGGAAGAAATGACACCCTCTGAGGGTGCTGAGGCACTGGCACAGGGTGCCCAGAGAAGCTGTGGCTGCCCCATCCCTGGCAGTGTTCAAGGTCAGGTTGGACACAGGGGCTTGGAGCAAGCTGCTCTAGTGAAAGGGGTCCCTGCCTGTGGCAAGGGTTTGGAGCTGGAGAAGCTTTAAGGTCCCTTCCAACCCAAACTATTTCATGTTTCTATGATACACAGAAAAAGGTCATGTTCAAAGGATGTAATACAGGTGACTATCATAGAACTTGCAGCTTCTCTCCACTGTCTGTAGTTGGGTTCAAGCCTGATGTACCTAGTAGGTGATCTGAACACAAACTTGCCTCATTTCCTAGTGAGGACATGTCCAGTACCGTGCCATGAGCTGCTACCAGCCTATCATAGAATCATAGAATAGTTAGGGATGGAAAGGACCTTAAGATCATCCAGTTCCAACCCCCCTGCCATGGGCAGGGACACCTTGCTCTAAACCTAGCCTTGAACACTGCCAGGGATGAAGCATTCACAACCTCCCTGGACAACCTATTCCAGTGCCTCACTACCCTAACAGGAAAGAATTTCCTCCTTACATCCAATGTAAACTTCCCCTGTTTAAGTTTTAACCCATTACTCCTTGTCCTATTACTACAGTCCCTAATGAAGAGTGCCTCCCCAGCATCCTTATATGCCCCGTTCAGATACTGGAAGGCTGCTATGAGGTCTGTCCTCTCTGTCTCACTAGAACAGTCATCTCCTCTCCTTTAAGACAGCCGTGTGTGCTGGGGTGGGAACCTCTGAAGGGAAAGGGGGTTCCTGCAGCTGCACCTTTTCGGTGCATCAGGGTTTTGTTTCTCCCCAGAGAAGTAACCTGGATCCCTCATTGTTACTGAGGAAGCCCCTGGATCTACAGGACTTGTAGGAACATCAGTTGTGTTGAAAGCACTGTGATTTACTAACATTTCTTTAGGGTGCTGGTACCTGATTCTGTACAACTGAGATCAGTGAGAAGTGCAGGCAACAGGCTCAGGCCCTTGAAGTATGTGAATGTCACAGGAATGAGTCCAAAAGAAAACCCTAAAATAAATGACTAGATAATTTCTGACAGTTAATGACCTACTAGAAGATCTGAGAGCTTAAGGGCTCTTCATCTAGGAACTCATTAAATGCCAGACCCATTAGCTGTCATTACTGCTCTTGCTATTTTTGGATATGTAGAAATATTCAGAAAAACAAAGACTTTTCTGAAGTGCTGTTGAAGTTGGAGCTATAGCTGCACGTTGCTGTCTATGCACTGAAGGTAATCAAGGTCTCACTCGCATCAGGACCAACAGGTTTGTCCTGAGAAGCTTCAGTGGGATGTATTCTGACTGGATGCTGATCTGAGATGGTCATTCAGTCCTAGTGTTGGATTTGTGTCCTAGGGCACAAACAAAACCATAATGACTATTTTCAACATTCCTCCAGTTTAGACCTCTAATTCTGAGCTGCAGTTGTGGGCCATGAAACCTCTGATCTATTTTCATCAAGATTTCACATATTTTCACAAAAAAGGTATACAATTCTTAATTTCTTCTGCAGATGAGATGTGCAGACCAAGGATATTTTCCTTTGTCTCTGATAGTTAAGATTAAGGAAAGAACATTGGTATTTGGAATCACAATAATTAAGCTCTAACTTTCCTATTCTGTATGTAATTTTCATACCATTACAAATACTCAGATTTCAGGTATGCAGTACCATAACAGGCACAACTTTTTCCTCAATAGGAGCACAGATATTAAGCTGTTATGGTGTCTGCAGGGTTTTGCTTGCCCATGTTAACGCAGCAGTTTCAAAAGGACTCGACTCTGAATCTCTTCTGCCATCACTGACACGTTGGTGTAAGTAAGTGTGCTTGACTTAAAGGTGTTACATTAACGTGAATCCAAAGTGACCTGGGAATGAGATGGAGTTGCTTTGGTTTCATACCAAGGCAGGTGAGTGCAAGGCCATTGGCAGGCTTTCGTGGTCTAGGGCAATTTACTGCTGGTTAAATGGCTAATGGGGGTGAAAGCTGGGACCCTGTTTCAATTACATTTATGATGGAGGAAAAGTGCTGCTCGCCAGTGGCAGGAGATCCTTTCCAGACCTACATTCCCAAAGCAGGAGAATTTCCCTGTTCTCTATGGAGCTATGCCAGGATGGAAACGGTAAATTCAGGCTCTGGGACCTGCGCTTTGTAACCATGACACCCTTCCCTCAAGGGTGCCATCGTCTCAGGCATGCAACAACCATTGGAGGGAAAACATCTAGTGATGGAGAAGGGCTGCGACCGAAGGTTTCTGTACCAGTCACCCCAGCTGATGATCTGCTCTGCTCTGCTCAGCTCAGAGATAGGCAGTGATAAATTTGTGCTTCGATGGATCTCTACATGTCCAAGCATTGAACTCAGAAATAACATTGACATTTTGCCTTGTAGCTCAGTACGGCCATATTGGGCCTCCGTGTAAACACACACCCTTTCATTTGGGGAAATGACTTGTTCAAGGTCATACAGCAGAGCTGAGAACAGACCCTAGTCTCTGGCTCCCACCTCAAAGCATTGGCTATCAGGAATGGCTTATGAGATGATTCCCCATTTCTCCTTCATGAACCTGGTCTGACTCATAAGCACCAAGCAGACACAACTTCCTTGGTCCTGTTCTCACAGCAAGAACTGTTGCCTTTGGCCTTGGTTCAATAAGGCTTCTAGGTACTAAAGTGCCAAAGCAATCAGCAGGAATTTAAGGCCCATATGCCTTTTTGGAGCTGGGTTTCTCTCTGTTCTGAGAAGCTGGAGCTAATATAGCTGGTGGGAGGCTCTGAAGGTTTGGAGGCGCTGGGTTTTCTGGTTAAAAAATCAGAGTATCTATCTGTGGTGTCTACCAGCTGGTTAACCAGGCAGCCAAACAGATTCAATCAAATAGCTGTGGCTTTTCCTACTCAGTGCAATGCTGGGTCATTGAAACAAGCTTCATTTTATCTTTCTTTCCCACGTAGCTTCTGAGATACGAAACTGATTTTACTAGTTATAGGGATGGATCTGGCTCTGCTTAATCATCAGATCTTCCCTTCTGTTTCTGTTGGTCACTATCTTCATGAGAGTTTGCTCTTAGTCTGACAGTGATGGATGAACCAGGCAAGGTCCATGCGGTTTCACACACTGCTCCTGGTACAGAGAGATCTGATACCAACGTGCAGGATGGCACAGTGGATGTGAAGCCTGTGTGATCCACCTTACCTTTCTCAAAGCTTCATTTCATGCCAACAGGAAACAAACAGTGGGTTTTGGCAGGTAGCTCAATGGCAGGTACATCCCTGTCCACTGATGGAACAGCATTCTGACACCGAAACAAGTTTGCTGTGTGATGTGGCCTTTCAGAAAAGGGAATTTGATTTGTATTTCAAGATAGAATAGTTTGGGTTGGAAAGGACCTTAAGATCATGTAGTTCCAATGCCATGACATGGGCAGGGACACCTCACACTAAACCGTGTCACCCAGGGTTCTTTTCAACCCAACCTTGAACACTGTCAGGGATGGAGCATTCACAGCTTCCTTGGGCAGCCCATTCCAGTGCCTTGGATGAGTTTTGTATAGAAAACTTGCCACAAATTAGATTATGAGAAAGCACTAATCATTTATATTCTCCCCCTACTCTAAAATAGAGGGCTGCTTTTTTTGCTCCATCCGGCAATGCAAATAACAAAGGCTCAAAAGTGTCTTTCGTGTGCTGGCAGAGGAATGGTTCAGGGAACATGAGCAATGAAAAGGAATAGGTGAAGTGTCTGTAACAGTGGGAAGCAGCAGGAGCTGCTGTGCCCCAAGCGGAGGATTGGAAACCTGCCCATCTCTGACTAATATA